CCCCAACCCCTCCGGCCTCCCGCTACCCCGTCTCCCTACATGACCTCGGGGAGTCCATGCTGGAGCAGGGACTAGAGTCCCCCTTCCCAGCCTCTCGCTCTAACCAGTCAATAACACTGCCTGCCCAAGGGAGCGGGGGCGGATCTCAGGCTGGCCGTGCGGCCTGGGCCAGGGCCGAGGCCGATCCCAGCAGGGTGAGGGTTTGTCTGGCTCCCTGCCCGGCCTCCTGCAAAGGGACACGTCAGGGGAAGAGGATCTGAGTCGGCAGAGGCCTCCTGCTGGGCCCCACGGGGCCACACTGCTCCTGGCTGCAGCATCTCTGCTCCAGGTCTCCCACGGCTTTGAGACCACCTGAGGGTCCCAGTGTGCATCAGAGCGGCACCTCTCCACCAGCCTTTCCGGCCCCTGGCTCCCCGCTTCCTGCATCGCCCAGGCCCAGAGCAGGGCTCAGCTGCTGTCTGCACAGTGGGCAAAGCAGGCCCTGGGATCCCCCTTGACAAGCAAGCAGGAGCCAGGGGCATAGGGACCACGCGCTGGAGCAGAGCGGCAGCCTGTCACGGCCAGGCGCTGGCCCCCAGCACTGGCTTCGTGGGAGGCAGAGACCCCCAAAGCACCTGGCTTGACCGCCCGTGGCCACGCGAGGGGATGTAACATCATCTGTCCCTTGTGGGGGGGAAAACGTCCGGCCCGGTTCTCTCTCGCTGGCCTCCCAGTGCGGGGCGCGGCTGCCTACGCTGGGAGGGGCGGGCTGGTTTTACCGGTGCCCCTGCCGCGGCCTCGACGTTTCACCACGATCCTTCCACTGCGCGTGCGTGGGCACCCCTCCCACCCCCACTCTCCTCCTGCTCCTGGGACAGGGCGAAAGAGCCGCTGCGCTGCTTCAAACGGGCCCTAAAAACCCGCGCTCTCCCAGGCGGCTTCCCGGGGGCTGGCGTTTCCCTAGCTCCACGCCCCGCTTCGGATCTGCAGGAAAGGGGTTCGGTGTTATTGTAGGCCTGGCTTCCTGTCAGTTTCTAACTCGGCCTAGTGCTCGGAGCTCAGAGGGCCCCAGGAATTCCTGGGGTTTGGGCCTGGCCTGGGTCGCTGCCGGCGATTCTGGTGCCCGTGGGGGCGGGGGGAAGGAGGGGAGAGCTGTGCAGCCCTGAGCATTCTCTGCGTGTGAAGCCAGTCCCCGAGCGCGTGGGAGCCGCAGGCAGCGGGGACTGGAGCAGCCAGGCCCTTGCTGCCACTGTGGCTCCGCTTGCCCGACTGAAAGCCCTGGCTCGAGCGCTCAGGGCAGCGGCATCTGTCCCAGCTCCAGCGTCTGCCGCTGCAGCTGAGAAATGTCAATTTCACGGGCAGGTAAACTCCCTTCCCGGGGAGCAGGGAGTGGAAACCGATCGGATCAGGAGCAGGGCAGCTCCCACGCTGCTCTGCTCTGAGGCCCACGTGCCCGAGAGGCCCGGAGGCTGCTGCAGCGCGGGGAAGGAGCAGCCCTTTGCTCGGTGCCCACGTGAGGGTTACACACGCAGCGGGCGCGCTCAGCACCACCGTCTCCCTCAGCCCCGACAGGCCTCATCTCGTGGCTGCCAAGACCCGGGCAGAGCAGAGAGGCCCATGGGAACCGTTGCCAGCAAGGGCTGAACCTGGGGGGGGGTCCTGCCCCCAGCCCCCCTGCCCCCAGCCCAGCTGGTTGGCAGTGCTAGGCCCAAAGCCTCCGGCCGGGGAAAGGGGCTGACAGCGGAGTCCAGGTAAGGGGCGAATCTCACCCAGCTCCGACGCCTGCCCCCCACGGCCAGCACCTACTGTGTCCATGGCGAGGGAGGCTCCCCGTCCCAGCGAGAGGTTGGTCAGCAGCTTGACAGCCAGGCGGGTGCAGCTGTCTCCCATCAGGACCTTGGCGTAGCCCTGGGCCCTGGCCGTGTGCAGGATCAGGGAGGTCCTGAAGGAGAAGCCGGACGTGAGTGCGGGTTCCAGCCCTGGGCCCTGCGCAGCACCACCCGGCCGCCAGCTGGCCCAGCGAGCCGCCCACCCAGCGGGCAGGGGGCCGGCAGAGCCCACTCCTCCTGGGGGGTCTCAAGGAGGGTGAGATCAGCAGGCTGGGCTTTCCCAAGGGGGCGCCAAGCCCCACTGACTTCCAAAGGCAGCTGGGTGCCCTGCCAACCCCCGCCTGGGCAGGCTAGTGAATGGGCAGAGCCCCAGAGCTCGCGGGGGGCTGGCCCAGAGCGCGAGGGCCATGGCAGGGAGCTGCGGCCCCACGGCTGCGAAGCAATGCATGCTGGGATGGATCAGGACAGGGAAGAGCCCTCCCCTCCGGCGCAGGCTGAGCGCGAAGCGCGGAGCCTCGCTCCAGGGCCCCCCTCCTCCCAGCTCCCCGGCGGGGACTCACCGCAGGGCCTGCAGCAGCTCCTCCTTCGCCGTCAGCGTCTTCACAGAGCCAAAGAGCTGCAGCAGCTGCTCCGTCCGGGCTGCAGCCAGCGGCCTGGCTCCCCGCCCGCCTGGTGTCTCCGCTCCGGGCATGGCCCGCGTGCTGAGCTCCGCCAGCCGCTCCGGGGCTCCGCCCTCCGCCTGCCTGTGCTGGTGGATGAAGCTCTCCACCGCCTCCTTGTAGCTGGCCCCGGGGCCCGCAGGGCGGTGGGGCCCACGCTGCAGGACGGAGCCGGGCAAGTCGAACACCTGCATGGAGCAAGCAGGGGGACGGGACCCGTGAGCGCCTGCCTGGGGCCTCCGAGACCCCCACCCCCAGCAGCAAGATCGGGGCCTCGGGAGCTGGCAACACCCGGATCCCGGAGGAGCCCTGGGATTGGAAGTCAGGGCCACACTCCCATCACAGCCTCGTTGGCTCCCACTGCGCCCCACGCACCGAGGGCCACCCTGAGCAGAGGCCTTGGACAGCTCCAGCGGCTCCCCGCCCAGTGGGGGGCTCTGGGCCATGTGATCTCTTGCCCAGAAGGAGCCCCCAGCCCTGCCGTGCCTCTCCGCCCCAGCGCCGGCACCTCACCCTACCTCTTCCAGGCGGGCCAGGTGATACGGGAATCCCGAGGCGCGCAGGATGGCCTCCATCTGGAGCAGCGTCTCCTCTCGCTCAGCTGGGCTCTGCCCGCACACGGCTCCCTCTGAGCAGCACACAAGATACGCCGGACGGGGAGTTAGCTGCCTTGCAGGGGAGACGTCTCCATCGTGGGGAGGGGACCCACCCACCCAACAGGCCTGCAGCCACTTCCACCCCCCTCACCAGCAAGCGGGGAGATTGGCCTCTCTGAGGGGGCACAGGGGACAGCTGGCCAGGGCCAGACGACTGCACACAATGGAGCAAGCTGCAGCCACCCTCCGCTGTAAGACAGGAGTGCAGATGGGCAGCCGTTGCCAGCATCTTCCGCCAGGCAGGACCATCTCCTGTGGGAGCTGGATTCGCGTGGGCAGCCCAGAGCCACGCTGCGGAACTGTACGTGAAAACGCCCCTCGCTCACACAGAGCACACGCCAACGCACGTTAGACAGAGCAGGCTGCACATGGGCACGGGGGCCCCTCCGCTGTAAGACAGGAGTGCAGATGGGCAGCCGTTGCCAGCATCTTCCGCCAGGCAGGACCATCTCCTGTGGGAGCTGGATTCGCGTGGGCAGCCCAGAGCCACGCTGCGGAACTGTACGTGAAAACGCCCCTCGCTCACACAGAGCACACGCCAACGCACGTTAGACAGAGCAGGCTGCACATGGGCACGGGGGCCAGACGCCGTGCATCCGGGTCACCTAGCCCACAATGCCCTGCAAAGCTGAAGGCGGCTTTGGCAACCCAAAAGAAAAAACACGGCAGAGGCAAGATCCACGCACGTTCTGCCCGAGCATAGCTGGGGGGTCCCACCACTTGGAGGGCGACCAGCCGAACCAGGCTACGAGGCCAGCAAGTTAAGGGACTGGGACAAACGGACGGGCAGGATGCCAGTGGCGTGGGAAGAGCTCTGGAGCTTGCACGACCGTCCTCTAAAAGCCCCTCGCTGAATCGCGTCTGTTTCGGGGGGGTTGGTGTATGAACGTTGAAATGATTACGCGATAAGCCTGGGGTATCAATTCATCCAAATGACTATGTGAAACCCTGCCCCCACCTTGTATAAGAGGCAGCAAGGGGGTGGGGGAAGGCAGGAGCTGCTGCTCGGGGGGAGAGGGAGGGGAGGGCATCCGGAGGGAGCGCGGGGTGTAGGCTGCCCAGAGGCCACGTGCACACAACGGGCTGGGAGCAGAGCAGAGCTGAGTTACCGTCCACATAGATGATGCCTGGTACAAAACGCAGTTTCTTGGCTGTCTCCCGCCTCAGCCCCTAAGAGGAGAAATGGGAACGAGCCAGTTGGCCCCAGGCGCTGGGAAACGGACGTCGTGGTTACACGTCTTAGCGCATCCCCTGGACTCTTATCCTGGCTGGCAGAGGCACCCCACAGCCCCGGCAGAGATGGTGTCTTGCTACCGCCACAGCCGGACAGGAGCGGATTTTTCAGAGAGGCTGAAGGCCCCAGCCTCGCCCAGATGACTGTAGCCTTCACCAGATCATGCTTCGACACGGACATGGCTGCTTCCACACCCCCATTGGACGCACCGCCGCAGGAACTGTGAGGGGGCTTGGCTGCCCCCCTCGCTTGGGCTTCCCTATGGGGCTGGAAGCGGCTGCCCTTCTGGGACGAGAGCGCAGGGCAGGAGCCACCCGCAGCGTTTGCACGAATACAATCTAGACGTGGGGGCCTACAGAAGCGCACGGCGCCCATCGCCCCGCAGAGCAACGCTTTCCCCTCCACGAGCGCGACAGCCTCCTCTGATCCAGCCCCTACACCCCAGGCCTGCTCCTTCCATGCCCAACTGCTCTCCCTGGTCCTTCATGGCTAACCCGGCCCCAGGCTACGCCGCAGAGCAGATACCTCTTGGACTTGCCGAAGCATCGAGCTGGAGGCAGGGCCACCTGATAACGCAAGAAGGACCTGTAAGGGAGAGACGAGAGAGATGTACCCATTCATCTCTGCTTCCTCCTGGCCTTCCCACAGCCATCGCTTCCTGGGAGGAGGCGTCTGCCCCGCACTGGCCCTTTAAGGGTTAAACCCACCCCTGGGAGAGGGCTGAACCGTGGAGCCAGCAGCTGTGGCAGATGCAGCCAATCAGGGCCCAGCTGGGGCTGTATAAATGAAGGCTTCTGCAGGGGAAGGAAGTCTCATTCTTGCGGGGGCAGCAGGAAGGACTCGGCTGCCGGGTAAGCGAGAGGCTTCCTGATACCAAGCAGGGCTGGGGAAGCTCTGGCCAGGTGAACTCCTAGGTGCAGGGCCTCAGGGCGCTAGGGAGGCAGCCAGGGCTGCAGAAGGTCCACATGCCCCTGAAACGAGGGGCCCTTTCAGCTGCATTGCCCCTGAGGTAAGAGGCTAAATGACGACCGGCAACAGGGTTACTGAGGCAAGTGGGCATAGCAGGTTGGGGGTTCCCTGAAGGGAAGGACCCCAGAGTGTGGGGCCCTGCAGCAGGGCAGTATCCAGAGGGGAGGGCACCATGGTCTGGGAGGGATGTGGGTCCAAACAAAGGTAATGGCAGGTGAGACACCAGCCAGAAGGGGGCGCTCCAGTGCTGACTCCTTGAGCAACCCACCGGAGGCGCGGCGGCGGGGGCCCTGGGAAAATGGCACGATTCTTCCCAAGCGTCGCACGGAACTTGTGAACAAAATAGTCCCTGAAACAGGCCCTTGGGGAACAAATAGGCACGTAAGTAGGGAGACCCTACAATCCCCCCCGGACGCGAGAGACCAGCCTTGGCAGGCAGCACCACAGGGCGCCAGACACCTGCCTCTCGCTGCTAATAAAGCTTTGATTTCTGCACAAATGGCACGATTCTTCCCAAGCGTCGCACGGAACTTGTGAACAAAATAGTCCCTGAAACAGGCCCTTGGGGAACAAATAGGCACGTAAGTAGGGAGACCCTACAATCCCCCCCGGACGCGAGAGACCAGCCTTGGCAGGCAGCACCACAGGGCGCCAGACACCTGCCTCTCGCTGCTAATAAAGCTTTGATTTCTGCACAGGGCAACTGGGGGGCACAGTGACGTCCCCCTTAATATTTCATCAATTAGCTTTTTCTGTCTGAGAGCACGGCTGCTTCAGTTGGGGGACACAGCAATCTGGAGCTCCGTTTTAAAAGCTAATCCAACAAAACTGGTTTGCTAGACTAGATCCTTCTCTAGGCTGTGTCTACACTGGCGCGATCTCGTGCAAAAGTGGCTGCTCTTGCGCAAAAACTTGCTGCCTGTCTACACTGGCCGCGTGTTCTTGTGCAAGTAAACCGACGTTCTAATGTGTGAAATCAGGGCTTCTTGTGCCAGAACTCTGATGCTCCCGCTCAGGAAGAAGCCCTTTAGCACAAGAGCTCTTCCACAATAGGCCAGTGTAGACAGGCAACATGAATTTCTCACGCGAGAAAGCCCTATGGTTAAAATGGCCATCAGAGCTTTCTTGCGCAAGAGAGCATCTCCACTGCCATGGATGCTCTTGCGCACAAGCACATGGCATTGTAGATGTGCTCTTGTGGAAGAGTTCTTGCGCAAGAAGCTGCCAGTGTAGATGTAGGCCTATTGTCTTTTCTGAGCCAAAACACTTCAACATTAAAAAGCCCAAGGAAGAAAAAGTTCAGTTGTATAGACAGGTATTAATTTTAAAGGATTTGCTATTTGTTTAATGGTCCAGTGAAATCCGACACAAGGAGGGGTAGCTCAGAGCTGTCAGCGTACAAGTGAGTACGAGGGACAGAAGACCACACCTGCAAAGAATACAGGCATGCAGATCTTTTGAGCATTCACGCTGCTAACTGCAACCACAATTCCAACCACTTGTTGGCATGCAGATGTATGCTCAAGTCACAGTAAAAGTGGCGAGGAGTCCTGTGGCACCTTATAGACTAAACAAAGTGTTGGAGCATAAGCTTTCGTGGGCAAAGACCCACTTCGTCAGATGCATGTCGTGGAAATTTCCAGAGGCAGGTATAAATATGCAGACCAGAATCAAGCTAGAGAAGACGAGGTGGATCCAATCAAGGAGGATGAGGCCCACTTCTAGCAGCTGATCTGGAGGTGTGAATTCCAAGAGAGCAGAAGCTGCTTTTGTAGTTAGCAAGCCATTCACAGTCTGTGTTTAATCCAGAGTTGATTGTGTCAAACTTGCAGATGAACTAGCTCAGCAGTTTCTCTTTGAAGTCTGGTCCTGAAGTCTTTTTGCTGCAGGATGGCTCCCTTTAGATCTGCAATTGTGTGTCCAGGGAGATTGAAGTGTTCCCCTACAGGTTTTTGTATGTTGCCATTCCTAATATCTGATTTGTGTCCATTTATTCTTTTATGTAGGGACTGTCCAGTTTGGCTGATGTATATAGCAGTGGGGCATTGTTGGCACATGATAGCGTATATTACGTTAGCAGATGTGCAGGAGAATGAACCAGTGACAGTATGGCTGATCTGGTTAGGTCCTGTGATGGTGTCGCTGGTGTATATATGTGGGCAGAGTTGGCACCGAGGTTTGTTGCAAGGATTGGTTCCTGAGTTCGAGTTATTATGGTGCGGTGTGTAGTTGCTGGTGAGAATATGCTTCAGGTCGGCGGGTTGTCTGTGGGCGAGGACTGGCCTGCCTCCCAAGGCCTGTGAAAGCGAGGGATCATTGTTCAGGATGGGTTGTAGATCACTAATGATGCGTTGGAGAGGTTTTAGCTGAGGACTGTAGGTGTTGGCCAGTGGTGTTCTGTTGGTTTCTTTCTTGGGCTTGTCCCGTAGCAGGAGGCTTCTGGGTACACGTCTGGCTCTGTCAATCTGTCTCCTCACTTCCTCGTGTGGGTATCGCAGTTTACAGAATGCTTGTTGAAGATCTTGTGGGTGTAGGTCTCTGTCTGAGGGGTTGGAGCATATGTGGTTGTACCTCAGTGCTTGGCTGTAAACAATGAATTGTGTGGTGTTTCCGGGATGGAAGCTGGAGGCATGCAGGTAAGTATAGCGGTCGGTAGGCTTTCGGTATAGGGTGGTATTGATGTGACCGTCACTTATTTGCACCGTGGTGTCCAGGAAACGGACCTCCCGCGAAGATTGGTCCATACTGAGGTTGATGGTGGGGTGGAAGCTGTTGAAATCGTGGTGAAATTCTTCCAGAGTCTCCTTCCCATGGGTCCAGATGATGAAGATGTCATTGATGTAGGGTAGGTAGAGAAGGGGCATAAGCGGACGAGAGCTGAGGAAGCGTTGTTCTAGGTCAGCCATAAAAACGTTGGCGTATTGTGGGGCCATGCGGGTGCCCATAGCAGTGCCTCTGGTCTGGAGGTATATGTTGTCACCAAATCTGAAATAGTTGTGTGTGAGGATAAAGTCGCAGAGTTCAGCCACCAGTTGTGCTGGGGCATCATCAGGGATACTGTTCCTGACAGCTTGTATTCAATCTACATGTGGGATGTTTGTGTAGAGAGCCTCTACATCCATGGGGGCTAGGATGGTGTTTTCTGGAAGATCACCAATGCATTGTAGTTTTCTCAGGAAATCAGTAGTGTCACGGAGGTAACTGGGAGTGCTGGTGGCGTAGGGTCTGAGCAGAAAGTCTACATATCCAGACAGTCCTTCAGTGAGAGTGCCAATGCCCGAGATGATGGGACGTCCGGGATTTCCAGGTTTGTGGATTTTGGGTAACAGATAGAACAACCCTGGTCGGGGCTCTAAGGATGTGCTGATTTGTTCCTGTGCTAACTACAAAAGCAGCTTCTCCTCTCTTGGAATTCACACCTCCAGATCAGCTACTAGAAGTGGGCCTCATCCTCCTTGATTGGATCCACCTCGTCATCTCTAGCCTGATCCTGGCCTGCATATTTATACCTGCCTCTGGAAATTTCCACTACACGCATCTGACGAAGTGGGTCTTTGACCACGAAAGCTTATGCTCCTACACTTCAGTTAGTCTATAAGGTGCCACAGGATTCCTCGCCGCTTTTGCAGAGTCAGACTAACACGGCTACTCCTCTGATACGAGTCACAGTAATTCATGTATAAATTGCCTCTGCAACTGGAAAACCTGGCCTGCACAGCTCAAATCAGAGAACACTAGAACTGGAAGGGACCGCGAGAGGTCATCAAGTCCAGTCCCCTGCCCTCATGGCAGGACCAAGCACCGTTTAGAATATCCCTGACAGGTGTCTGTCTAACCTGCTCTGAAACATCTCCAGAGATGGGGATTCCACAGCCTCCCTAGACAACTTATTAAGTGTTTAACCACCCTGACAGGCAGGAAGTTTTTCCTAATGTCCAACCTAAACCTCCCTTGCTGCAGTTTAAGCCCAGCAATGAGCCAACAATGTCTATGTATATTGGACAAACTTCTCAGACACTTCACCAAAGAATCAATGCACACAAAACAGACATCAAACAGTTTCACAAAGAAAAATGATTCTTGTGATTTCAACCAGAATGGGCGTTTTATCTTCATGCTGCTTCAAAGAGATTTTAACACAAGACTTCAAAGAGAAGCCTCTGAACTGTCATTCATGCTTAAAGCCAACACTTTTACGAATGGGCCTTAACAAAGATGCTAATTATCTTACCCATTATAGAGATAGCGTCCCCAATTATCACCTCTAATATCATTATCTCATAGACATTAACCTCCCCCCCCCTCCTCCGTTCTAAAATTTGATTTGTCTATTTTATGTGTTCACTTTTGATTGTATCTCTTTGGTATATATGGTCATACCATTTTTCTTCCACAATTTGATCTGAGGAAGTGGGTCTGGCCCATGAAAGCGCATCACCTAATAAACCATCTTGTAAGTCTTTAAAGTGCTGCATAGTCCTGTATTTTGTTTCATCAAGACCAGACTAACACGACTACATCTCTATTACTTCCCATTCTGTATGTGTGTGACTGATTGTTCCTTCCTAAGTGGAGCACTTTGCATTTGTCCTTATTAAACTTCATCCTGTTTACCTCAGATTCTATTTCCAAGATTCATATAAAAAGGACGAGGCAGATCAGATCTTTCTTTTACAAATTAAGAAAAAACAAGTGAATTGCCCTCATTGCCTATGCTCACCCGCATTTACCCATCACTACGGCCTCACATCACAATACCTTTTGCATGATGGGGTTTTTACAGAAGCAAAGATGCAAATCTGATGTAAGGGCTTTTTGCAGCAACATGCCACGCTCCTGAATGAGTATGGTTTGTTGCACACAACTGGGGTGCACTTTATTAGCTGGCTTGATTTGAATCTCTCTTGCAATCTGTATGCTAAACAATCCTCTTTCAAATAGATTTATACAGATCAGCAAAGGAGGTTCTAAAGATAGGAATGCTCCGAGCACTTCAACAGGGTTTCCTCTTGCAAATCACCCCAGCTATTTCTTTCCTAGCCAACTTACTTGCAAAAGGCATCTCTTGCAAATCACCCCAACTATTTCTTTCACAGCCAACTTACTTGTAAAAGGCATCTCCGATGTCATCTGAGGGACCAACCTCAAGCAAAGAGCTTTGCAGGCTGCTGTCAGCTTGTTTAAATATTGTAGCTATACCAGGTGCCTTGTAAGTATGGGCTAGAAAATACTATGCAACACCATGGGATTTTTCTGAGGAGTTCATTTGGGATCAGTGCAAGAACTATAGGACTGAATGCTGGGGAGGGGGCAGTGGCCGAGCAGTGAAAGGTCCCCCCGTACTGGACTGAGGATGTAAATCTCACTGCACAAGTCAGCTAGGCTGAGACCAGTTTCCAAAGCCTAGACCCAGAGGCCCGGTTCACGCTGCGGGTGCAGCTGGGCCCTGCCAGTTCAA